AAAATAACCAAAAAAGTGGAAAATTACGTTTGTGAACCACACAGATAATACACTATATGAGTGAACCAGACTATCTTAGCACGAATTCCACTCACACTTGATTGATCTTTAGGGTTCCGAGCCAAAATAGCGGAAATTGAACCCTTATAGTATCGTCATGTCCGTCCGTCCGTCCATTCGTCCGTATGTCACAAGCATTTTATTCAAAAACTACAAGACTATATTCATGAAATTTATAGTGTGTCTTGTATAAGTCGCAACTTAGTTTGGTAGTTAATTAATAAAAATAAATATTTCTATGGGGCACTCCATACATGTAACAGAAGCTAAAAATTTTTTTTTTCAGCCAACATCAATGAGTGGCACATATTTAGATAGTTCCTTTAAAACAGTTTAAGGTTTCTAACTAATTTTTCTAATTACGTGAATAATTTCCGAAATAGTCGTTCCGAAAGGTATAGAAATTATAATACTCTAGTTTGCACTAGTTTTATAGTAATAGTCGACATACCTAGTTGTTTTTCTAGTTATAGGTGACTAAAGTGCTTATAACTATTCAATGCGGGAAACATGGAAAAAGTGTAACAACGTACTTTTTTTTTTTAGTGCATTTTTTTGTAATAATGGCTTCGGAACTCTATAATGAACATGGTCCGAAATGTTCTTGGCCAGTTTTACTTTATGGTTTTCGTCAAGTTTGCACTACGATCACGCCAAGTTTGACGATTGTATATGTTTACTGCTTTTATAATAGAGTAAAATTAAAACAAATTATTTGATACGCATTAAGTATGCACTCACATAATTAGCGAGTGTCAGTTTGTACCGCACATTAAAACGAACCAAAACGATGGAAACTATAAACTTTTATAGGTTTTCTTGAAATGTATAAATACAGAACTATTCTGTGTATTTTTTCTAAATTTTAAGCCCAGTCGTTTAGGAAATAAGGGAGGGAATGGTCTATTATCCCCTATTTTCTTAAATAATTTCAAAATTATTTATCTTAAAATTATTAAAAAATATACATTGGAGAGCCTTATAATAAACGCTATCATTTGATATGCTTATGGTGCACTTGGAATTTTTTTTTTTTTTAACTTTCCAATTTACTCCCCAAGAGTGGCTCTCATATTTAAAATTCATTTATTTACGTTCAACCTCCGTATTTGGGTCTCAGATATATAAGTACATGTCAAATGTCAACTCAATCGGTCCAGTAGTTTCGGAGCAAATCGGCTGTGACAGACGGATGGATAGACACGCGAGTGGGCCGTTGAGGATTCCGTTTCTTTCTTTGAGGGACGGAACCCTAAAAATATTAAAAATAAACACTTATCCCATAATTTTCCGCTACCTGCGCCTCCATAATATGATTTGAAAACGTGTTTTCCTTTCAACACAACTCAATCTAACATCGTTTGCGCAGGCGAGTTGCCGGCGTGGCTGCGGGGCTCCCTGCTGCGGAACGGGCCGGGCTCGCTCAAGGTCGGCACCATGCAGTATCAGCATTTGTTCGACAGCGCGGCTCTTCTTCACAGGTGAAGTCGCATCACTAAACAAGTGTTGTTATTGCATACTAGCCGTCCGCCCGCGTAGATAAGAATTCCTTAATTTTCCATACTTTAGCGAACGTGATTTCGATGTAGCCGATCTCGAAGACTATTTTCTGTTAGTAATCATTATATCAGGTTATTGACGCCATCACCCTCGGTTTCTCTCTCTCTCCGTATCTCCCTCACTCCACTCCCCCGCTTTAAATTCTGTCCTCCTACCACTCTCCATCTGAATCCTTATTTCCTCCCATTTTCTCTTCTACCAGCAAAGCCAGCACGTAAACATAACACTGATAAAATAAAATAGAGATATTTATATATGATATGCTTAGCAATAAGAAGAGAAACAGACAAACAAATTGTCTGACAAAGAGTAACCTATATATTATGTAACGGTGAGTTTTATCAGTGTGCTATAATTTATTAAAATCGATTATGTCATTATAGAGTTATAACGATACATACAGACAAACAAACAGAAAGACAGAAACATAATAACAATAATGTAATAAATCCAAAGGTAACTTTAATATATATTATGTGAAATGTTGTCGGATTAATTTTTGACCTCGAACAAATTAACTAACGGCTTTTAACTTAAATGGCACGATGCTCCACGCATCTAAGACCATTTTAAACCATTCGAATATATATTTTTTAATCCTCATGAAATGCTAGGAAACGGTAGAGAATAACAGGAGAATGAGGGTCGTATAGAGGTAAAATAATATACCTAGAACTGACATAACGTCAATACGGAAAAGGAAACAGCCCTCAGGCGGGGCGGCGGACAAAAGCTGTTTAGATACAACTTGACACTTTTGTACAGACGTGTGCGCCTAGACCAGACGTTTTTTAGCATAAGAATATAATCAGCTGTTCATGTAAATTGAATATTAATAACTAGATACATAGCTAAAATTTTTATACTGAAATACTATCCTTGGATACTGATAAAAAATCCCCAGTTTTTTTTTAAATGAAAAACATCTTAAATTAAAACTTGGGAGTTCGCATATTGACGTGCTAACGCGTTATACGTAAAAATTTCTTAATGCTTGATTTTGTATGTATAAAATGTTATGAATTCGCGTCACGTCAGTATGTTAAAATTATATTTTTTTTTAATTCAATTGCAACATTATCATGGTCTTATTTATTTTAAAAAGCTTATATTTTGTGATTCGAACCTCAATACGCACATAGACTTTTCATAATGGGCATCATGTTTCGATTAATGAATAATAATGAACCATGCTATAAAATTGTATATAATTATATGTACATTTTTATAATATGTATAGTAGTAATAATGACTGCCTACTATTCTTTTAAAATAATTTCTAAAATCATCAAACTTCACAATTCTCTTCTCTGGCTGAACCCAAATATGTACGTATGAAAAACTAGATTCGCGATCTACGGCGGCGGGGTGACGTACCAGTGCCGCTTCCTCCGCTCCGAGACGCAGCGCCGCAACCGCGCCGCCAACCGCATCGTGGTGGCCGAGTTCGGCACCAGGGCCGCTCCCGACCCCTGTCACACGATATTCGATAGGTAAGGTTTTGTTAATGCCAGCGCCGATGTTATTATTTTATTTTATCAGAAAACGTTGGATAAGATTTTATCTTCGTAGCCGTCCTCTATCGACCGGAAAGTATACGGGCCTGAAAGTGTTACTACCTTTCTTGGAAGAAAAATAGTATTTTTCTCAAAAACATCCAAAATATACTATATGTTAAGGAAGTTCAGAAAAAATAGTACATATTTGTTTTTAATTGTTACTTGTTGTACCATATGCATTTGTTTATTACTCTTCGCAATGAACATGTAGGTTTTATTATTTTTGAAATAATTATAACAATCTTTGTAACTTAGATACGTATTAAAATAAATTAGCAATCCATTTTTATTAAATTATTGGATGCACTATTTCTTTCTTTTCAAGATTTTAATTTATTAAATTTTCATCCGTTCCTTTATAATATATTTCCCATTTTTCCACAATATTTTTAGATTCCTAGCTTCTTTTTCAAATAATTTTATTTACTAAAATTATTTCTAAATACAAATGATTGCATTCATGTTTGATATTTTAAATTAAATGTACATAATCTTATACGCTCTCGAGTTGTATAAATTCAACTTTCATGTTTAAATTGCTTATTTAAAAAAATGCTTATTTAAATATATTAAACTTTTCTCGATATATGGTCCATTCTGAAATTCACCATACTGCACTGCGAATACGTACAGATGACAGTTAATATAATAAAAGCTCGATAGTTTAATTAACATAAAATATAACATTTTTCGTAGAGTATTATTTTACTGTGACATATAGTACAATTGACCAAAAGTAGCGAATAGTACTAGTGACTAAAGACTTTAGTAGGTACTTTAGTCTAAAGTACCATATAATATAGTACAAGCCCCACTGCCATACAATGCTTCAGTCGTTTCTAATATAAAATACTCTATGCATCTCATTATTCTTAATGTTTGTCACTTAGTTATTGCAACAATTTTATAGCGATTCCAGGAGTACGTTCAACATATTTTTAACTTCCGTCAATATAGACCATTGACGGCTTTCTGTTATGCTTATTGTCGTCACAACTATGAACCGATACGCATATGTATATTTTCGTCGTAAGTCTTTAGAATAGAGGGCGCTAGAAATTTCAAACAACACAATGCACTGAATTGATGCAAGATACAGGAAAGGGTGGGGGGTTGAGTGTATGGAGGTTGTATTAGGAGGCTTTTAAGATCGACGATTATTATCAACTCTCGTGCAATGGACTTGAGGATAATGCAGGCGCAAATTAGATATGGTCTATAATGTGCATTTTTAATATGCCTTTTCATTTTTTTTGTATATATTTTATTTTATTGTGTTTAAAATTTTGTTAATACATGTTAAAAGCTCATCATAGTTACTTTAATAGGTATCGATAGAGTCGATATGAAATAGCATCTTTTTACAAATCATGAAAATTCTCGTCGATAAATGGTTGTCACTCAATTAGTTTGCGGTTTTCGTATGAATTTTCTTGTGTCCTGGTAGCGAGTGCTCTATTCGCACTCGTCTTCCTATCAACTACCAATTTCAAATGAATGTGAGAATATTTTTCACACTGTAACGTTTACGTCTAAAAACACGCAATACAGGATTTTCAAGTTAAAAACTGAAATTGTGAATAACACATTACGGCACATTGACACGTATATTTTTGCATAGTGTAAAGGAAAAGTGGATTCGTATAATCACTTGCTCAACCTTTTTTTACATGCCCTTGTTTTTATATTACTAAAACGTTATTGAATCACAATTATTCCACCAAACAGAAATTGAAATGTTACTAGACCATAATGCGACTAAAAGTTATTATACATAAAGTCATTTATTATTAACGGTTTCGTTACTCGGGTGCGCTAGTGACGTCGGTGGCCGAGTGGTAAAGCTTCGCCTTTGAACCAAAATGTACCGGCTTCGAGTTCCGACCGGGTACGGCCGAATCGATTGAGAAGTGTTGAATTAAGGCAAACAAACCACCTTCTCTGAACCTCGAAAAGCATGTTAAACCGTTCATTCGGTGCATTGCCATAGCATCGGTGACGACGGCCTCTAGCTAACCTGATACAGCATAAGGGTCTAGACACCGGCACTCGGAGAAGATTTATTTCTATAATCGCGTTTGTTGAAGTGTGTAATATCTCGTATTGTCGTGACGGCTGTCATTTTTATACATCAGGAACAAACGTGATTGATTAATTTGGAATTATGAAAAATGTCCAGGGTCTCGGCGCTGTTCAAACCCAGCGAGGTGCTCTCGGACAACGCCATGATATCGGTGTACCCCTTCGGGGACGAGATGTACGCATTCACCGAGGGCCCGGTGATACACAGGTGAGTTTGGGATAACTTTCAATTAAACTAACTGGAATAGAAATATAACAATTTAAAAATATTAAATAATATATACATTTATTACGATAATACATAAGCACATAATATAGCACTGAATTCAAAGGTTATTAAAATAATTAAAATTCCTCTATAATGAAGAGTATTTATTAATACTCTTCATTATACAGGAAAATACGTAATATTTTATATAAAATAGCGTAAGATATATTCGTTTCAGTTCCGCGTTCACTTACCGACACTGCCGTGAATTTTCACGATATGAATAGAGATCAAAAAGACGGTGTATTTACAGAATAGATCCCGTGACATTGGACACTTGTGAGCGGAAAAACTTGACGCAGTGCGTGGCCATCATCAACCACACCTCGCACCCGCACGTCATGCCCAATGGTTTGTGATCTTTAAATTGATTCAAGTCGTATCCTAATGCTAGCACACTACAGGTTTTATATAAATCATCATGTAGTAAGGCATCATTTAACAAGGTACACATCATTATCATTATATATAATAAAACTAAGTTGATAAAATGTGCGCGTGCCGATAAAACTTAAAAAGGAGTCCCAGCACGATAAAGGGACTTATATAGTGTGATAGCCCTTTATTCCCCCTCGAACAAGAAAGTTCCCGTTTTAACCTAAAGGGTGTATCTTTAAAGATATAAGGGCTTTTTCAACCCTTCAACTTGGAAAGTAAGTGTAGTGGCGCCATCTGTTGTCGAATAGTTGAATTTTATTCATTGTACACAATATGGACTTAAAAGAACGATTAGGGAATTTTCTCGAATATCCTAGCGCCAACTTTCTCGAATATCCTAGAGCCTAGCTTTCTGAATATATAAGAGCCCGGTGTCACCCGCCAAAGTTAGTTTGATTTGAACAGCGAAACAAGCGATTTCGAAACGAAAAGAAAGAAGTTATCTGTGTGTGAGCCTTTATTTTAAAGTATCACCTGTGAGTATTTTAATAGTGTGTTTAATTAATTCTCGATTTCGAAGTGAAGAAAAAAGTTATCTGTGAGCCTTTATTGTGAAATATCAAATGTGAGTATTTTAATAGTGTATTTAATTAATTCTAATGGTTTTTTTTTATTTTCTTTTAATTGTAATTTCCTTAACTTTCAAGTAGTCGCGCGGCGTTGAATCGATGCCTTCTATATACTTTGGCCGTAAACAAAATATCCCGCGACCGCTTGAAGATTAAATAATTTTTTTTTCTTTGTCTCAACGTGCTCCACGTTTACGTAACAATATATTTGTCTATAAAATGTTTATTTAATTTATATTTTACAGAATACAATGCCTAGACGTAAAAGAGGTGGAGATCTTGCCAGTTCTGCAGCGAAACGGCGAAAACAAAAGAAAATCGAAGAAATGAAACGGAAGAAGAGCGCGAAGCACGTTTACAAAATCAACGAACCAGAATGAGCACCCTGAGAAGCGGAAAAGCGAAGAAAGAAAATAAAAGTATTGAAGAATCGAGAATTTTAAAAGATAATCTAACAAAGGAAGCATTCCACTACGAACCGACGAAGAAATATTACGATCATAAATATGTTGTGATCGGAAAAAATAACATTTGTCAATTTTGCCACGCGAAGAAATTCAGTAAAGAAACACCAGGTCTCTGTTGCATGAATGGAAAAATTCGATTACCACCACTGGAAGCACCTCCACAGGAATTTCTACATTACATGACCGGGGAAACACCAGAATCTAAACACTTTCTTCAAAATATAAGATCATACAACTCCTGCTTTCAAATGACTTCTTTCGGTGTTACTTCGACTGACACTAATAGAGACAAATTTGAATATGTATTTTCAATTCAAGGGCAAATTTATCACAAAATTGGATCGTTACTACCAATGCCTAACGATGACTATAAATTTCTGCAAGTATATTTCATCGGAAATGAAAAAAACGAAATTGATCAACGATGTACAAATTTTATTGGATTGAAACGCGAAATAATCCAAGATGTACAGAGGATCTTACACAAATACAATCAACTGATTTATATATTCAAAACAACACTAGACCGCATGATTTCTGATGACTATAAAATTGTAATTCGAGCCGATAAAGACCACGTGGAGAACACGAACGTAGATTTAATGCACCTCAGATAGATGAAGTCGCCGTCGTAATTGTGGACAATGAAAATACAAGCCGTGACATAATTGTACAACGAAGAAGAAAAGGACTACAACGCATTGCAGAGACACACCGTTCATATGATGCTCTTCAATATCCGTTAATATTTCTGCACGGAGAGGATGGTTATCATTTCAATATAAAACAAATTCATCCTAAAAACGGCATAGAAACAAACAAAAAAGTCACTTCCAAGGAGTTCTATGCTTACCGCTTAATGATCAGAGACAATGAAGTATACAATCACATTCTCAACACTCGCCGTTTATTCCAACAATTTCTGGTAGATATGTACGCAAAAATAGAAGCAGAACGGATGCTTTACATAAGACTGAATCAGAAGAAACTACGCACAGAAGAATACATCCACCTTCGAGATGCGATCGTAAATGACGGCAATATTGACGATATTGGAACAATGGTAATCTTACCCTCATCATACATAGGAAGTCCAAGACATATGCACGAATATACTCAAGATGCCATGACCTACGTAAGAAAATATGGACGACCTGATCTCTTCATAACATTTACATGCAACTCATCATGGCCAGAAATCAAAGAACAACTAAAATACGGACAAACCTCCATGGATCGACACGACATAATAGCCCGAGTTTTTCGACAAAACAAATAAGATTTATTGAAGTCATCACAAAATACCACATTTTTGGAACCGTTAGATGCTGGATGTATACAATCAAGTGGCAAAAACGAGGATTACCTCAATCACACAATCTCATATGGCTACACGATAAAATTTATCCCACGGATATCGACAAAATCATCCAAGCTGAATTTCCCAATCCACAAAATGATCCGGAACTATACAACATAGTAGTGAAAAACATGATTCACGGACCATGTGGACCATTAAACCTCAATGCGCCATGCATGAGTGATGGAAAATGTACAAAAAAATATCCAAAACCATACTTGGACGATACAAAAACTGAAGATGACGGCTATCCCAAATATAGAAGACGATCACCGAAAAACGGTGGCTTCACAGCAAAAATACGACTACAAGGCAGAGACGAACTGGAAATAGATAATCAATGGGTAGTACCATATAACTACTTTCCAAAATGTTCCAAGCACACATAAACGTTGAATATTGCAATTCAGTAAAATCTATTAAATATATATGTAAGTACGTAAACAAAGGTAGTGATATGGCAGTATTTCAAATAGTCCAAAATAGCGAACAAAATAATAGAAATGATGAAATCCTCATGTACCAAATGGGAAGATATATCAACAGTAACGAAGCAGCGTGGAGGATTTTAGTTTTCCCATACACGAACGCGAACCAGCTGTGCAACATCTAGCAGTACATTTGGAGAATGGACAGAGAGTTTACTTCACAAAAGACTCGGCTAGAAAAATTGCAAGCGAACCACCTCAGAACACAACATTAACAGCTTTTTTCCAACTTTGCCAAACGGATCCATTCGCAAAGACGTTACTGTATGTCGACGTCCCTATTTATTATACGTGGGACAAAACAAGGAAAATTTTTCAACGACGAAAACAAGGAATGCCAGAAGAGGGTCATCCAGAAATAATGAAAACTAACGCAATAGGTCGAGTATACACTGTACATCCAAACAATGCCGAATGTTTCTATCTCCGAATGTTGTTACACGAAATACGGGGACCAACAAATTTCACAGATCTCAGGACTATCGACGGCTACATATGCCACACTTACAGAGAAGCATGTCAACGTTTAGGATTATTGGAAAACGATAACCACTGGGAATTAACACTACAAGAAGCCACACTCACAGCTTCAGCTGAACAAATTCGAGAGTTATTCGCCATAATTCTAACAACATGTAACCCATCAAACCCAAAACAGCTATGGGACTCTTTCAAACGGAATATGAGTGATGATATATTGTACCAAATCCGACAAGCTAATCCAGAACTGACTATAGAATTCAATGACGACATCTTCAATGAAACACTCATTCGCTTAGAAGATAAATGTTTAGCAATAAATAACCAGACCTTAGTAGAAATTGGAATGCCAGCACCACAAAGAAATACTTTCAGTGTGCTGAACTACGAAATTACAAAGGAAAAAAGCTACAACGTCAATGAACTACTTGAATACATTGCTCACAACAAACCACTCCTCAATGATAATCAAAAAAAAAAAATTTACAACGTTATAATGAACCGAATAAATAACAACACTGGTGGAATTATTTACTTGGACGCACCAGGAGGCACCGGTAAAACGTTTCTAATAAATCTAATACTGGCGGAAATACGTGCTGAAAAACACATCGCACTGGCACTAGCATCATCCGGCATTGCAGCCACACTTATGGAAGGAGGACGAACTGCCCATTCTGCCTTACAACTACCGTTGAATATAGCCGAACAACAATCCCGGTATGTAAAATCTCAGGAA